TATTTTTATATTATATTTTTAAGCATTCCTGATAGCGCCGTATGCGCAGAGATTTCAGTGACCAACGATTCTGCGGACCAACCGAGATTCTCTGTGATATTTTGTCGAATAGTTTTACGTGAAAATTCAATATCAGCAGCGATTTACGTTTATTAACGGTAAGTAGCAGATTAATTTGCATCGATCTAGATTAATACGTTTCAACAGAAAACGCACAGAGTTAAGAATTAAGAAGAAACTTGCTTCAATACTTACGATTTAACTGAATTAATGATCAACGAACGAATAATAAAAAATAATATTAACGAAGAAAGAATAATATTAATAAAGTTAATTTTATATCGATTTTAATATCAGCACTATTAATTTTGCTGAAATTATTTATTATTTATATTAATTGATGTAATAAAAAATTAAATTTTAGAAAGTGATGAGAGAACATAATAATTACGATCGCCCGGCGCAATAATACTTGCACTACTTCACTCGTGAATTATCTTGAGCGATCAATATACTTCTTGAACTACTAAAGCTTGATAGCTACTAATTTAATAAAAAGTAGTGTTTAATGGTAAACCGTTATATTAACGATATTCTGCTATAAAAACAATGTTTATGTTCACAATACCTTCAATTTTCTTCATAAATACATAGGACAAAAGATGCAAAAGAAATATATCACAAAGAGCAGGATTTCTATAAGAATAATGCTAATTCGATCATGTAATACTATCGAGAATGCGGTATCTTCTTTTATGAGATTTTTTTCTTCACATCCAATAGGTTTCAAGATATGCAAGCGCGAGATACTTGAGAATCTTGAGATAGAACTTCCTGTGCACGCTGACAAATGATCGGTGTTTCGAGTGGAAGCGTTTATTCGCTTCATATCGATCTTGAACAGTATTAATAGCAGGACGATTCCGCTCTTAATAATGCATTCGCATGTATCTTTTGCGACGTTGACTCGCAATAATTTGCTTCGATTGCAAAATTAGATCGAGAAAGGTCAGAGGAAAAATACAATAGTTTGTAAAGCTTGTTAAAACCTTGTTCAAACCTTTTCTTCCTTTTATTTCCATTCATATTTTAACGCAGAGGACTAAATTCTTTAACGAAAGCTGAATGCATAATATCTTTTTTCTCTCTATTATTTGAAGAAAGAATACCTATAAATAATAGAATAAATATTGCACGAGAGAAAAATTCAAGTGTTTTTGAATTTCAAATATGTCAAATGTCTCTGAATTTGGAATATAAAAATAATTTGATGCGACAGATTACTTTTTAAATTATATAACATTCCTTAAAAACATTTTATATTTGTAAAAATTAAACGATTCTCAATATTATACATCTGACATTTGACATTTTCGCAGAAAAATTGTTCACAATATAATTGAAATAATATTCCGATAAAACAATACAAGAAATATATATTTACTTCTAATAACATGTGATATACAATATTATATTTTCAATTTTATCGCTACAATGGTAAAAATAAATTTTCATGTCTATCACAGTCAGTTTATCATTCTAAAAATCTCATGTACGAATCTCATATCCATTAACGAATTAGACTCCTAAATTTCGTTTGAATGAAAATTATTTGCACTTGAAGAAATTTGAAGACTCAATCATTAATTATTTTCACAATGATTATTAAACGTTACAAATATGTAAAAATCTCATTAAATATTTACATATTAATTTTACGTAAAACGTATGAAAATAGTGAGATCTTGCGGATCAATTCAGAAAGAAAGCAAAGCAATTCGCCAAAGTATTTTTTCAGATATGAGACTCAAAAGGCAGATTGATAAAACTGATTTCAGGTGCGCGGGATCAAACAGCAGTACTTGCCAAGGTAATCGCAGTGCAACGATGTTCAATCTCTATCAGAGCCTAAACAAGAAGGATGACGGTGACGGGCAGCGGAATCGCGAATCGGAGGTGACCGGTCATGACAGATTCTGTCAGCATCGTACTGGTCATTCGAGCACTCGTCGCCGCCGCCGTGCCGTCAATCGCAGGACGCAGAGTGCCACCGAGCTGAACGCCAGGGCGATGAGCACGGCACGGGGTTCGTTGCGACGAGGTCGCAGCGTGAGTACGGAGGATGAGAACGAGAGCGAGGATGACAAGGGCCATCAGCTGGCGAACAAGCTGGACAATCTGGCGCGGCTACTCTTCAGCCGCGTGTCGGCAGCGCGGGGATACAAGGATCAGGGAGACGTCAAGTGAGTTTTTTTTTTAGGGATGAAAAGAGGCGCGTATCTTGGTAATCTTTAGTCATCTCACACTGGATTCGGAGTCGGTTAAAATTAACCGACGGAGACGGAGTCCATAATTTATGAACTATGGATTTGAGGGAGACTTACGGAGTTATAAAATTATACGATTATGTAGGGACTCTAAAAAGTTTCAAGATTATTAAATTACCACAGAAAAGGAAATTACAGGGGATTATGAAGTTAAAGCTGAAAAGAAAATTATGAAATTGTAGAGCTGCGGAATATTATAGATCGAGCTACTTAAACATGTGTAGAATTGGAGCTATAATTATAGGAACTATGTTTAGATATAGAATTTGGAACTATAATTATAGAATCATAGAGGCAATATGATAGAGTTATAAAATAAAATTATAAATTAGAAAATGTTACAAAATTAAAAGAATAGAATTACAAATCGAAAGACGATTAATAAATTCAAAGTTCAAATATTTCAGAAATATGTATTTTTATAAAAGAGTCGATTAAAGTTACTTCCTTTCGTATTGAGCTTTCAATCATATTTGGTAGGAATAAACACATTTGTGAGGAAAGGAAATTGTGTCAAAACGTGAAATATAAATCCCGACTCAATTATCCTCCTTCGGGAAATGAAATATACAATATGATCCCTCGATGAGCCGCTTTATCCTCTCGGGATGTGTATTATTCACACATATAGCAATAGCATGTACCTCTTCTCTCTGTTCTGAATTAGCTATTACTTGTTGCTGCAACAAGAACTCAGCAGGCACGTAAATAATTATCAATATTACCCTTTACATAACCAATGATTTTCCTGGTTTGCATTAACGGCATCCCCGCTTGATATCAGATCTAATATTGTTCGCTGACATCATTGTGTATCCTATTAAACTAGCCGCTTCAATTATTCGTGTCACGTCACGCATACTCGGGCATCTCTATTTGTAAACCATGAACGAGAGTCCGTCGAAGACGCCTCTCAGCTCTTATCGGCACGAGCATCGATTTTTTGCTTTCGCACATTTATAGTCAGGAGTGTACGATAATAATTGTTTTTTTGTACGATAATAATACGACAATTTTCGTAAAAAACATCCGGTCAATAATGACAAGTGCGCAACAGAACGTTCATCGGAAGCTTTCGAAGAGCGACGGTCCTCGAGTAGACGGAAATTTTCGTGTTGCAACACGCAGGTAATAATGCCAGGCAAAATGCGAAGAGTGTCCCGGGACTAAAAGATCTTTTATCATTTTCGAAATATCGCCTCCGAAATATTTCGTTCTCCGATAATTCGGAACGGCGGCGACAGAGTCCCGAGGCACTCAGCACGTGACGTGATTGCGTTAATTCAATTATTGTGCTTTTGTATGAGAGCACAAGCCGAGCGTTAAGACCGACTTTGTATGACGATATATACGACTCCTGTGGTGGTCCGTCTTCTTTCTTTTTTTTTTTATTGGATGAAACCCCTTGCAGCCACAGAGCAACGTGGCGCGTTAGTGGTACGCGACCGCACCATAATCCGTGGCTCGCGAATCTAATCCGCTTTTGTTACTGCAAGAGGCACGATAATGCAGAGGAGTTGTCTAGGCGAATGCAAAGCTGCGCGGCAACTTTCGACGACAGGTAGAGAACGTTTTTATAAAATATGAGAAACGATATTAAGCTCTTAAGCGATTAAAAATGACCCATACACGTGTTTTATTCTGCTGTATTTTTTAAAGTCAATCTAGCAATCTATATTTCTTTTGTTTATTATTATTCCCTTTAATAATCGTAGAAACGTTTTAAAATACATTATTATAGTATTACATATCTGCTTTATTCTGCCAGTTTCTTAGAAGTTCGGTACAAAAAGTTTATATTTTTTATTTATTTATTATTATTTATCATTATTTATTGTTATTCCTTTTAATAACCACACAAGTTTTTTAAAACAATCATTTGATAACTGGTTCTGAATGCAAATTCGAAAGTTCTAAATAGTCAGGATATTTAAATCGTTATCAATTTAAACGACGTCGAAGCGAAATCTCCTCCAGGAAAAGACTAAACAAAAAGAAGGAGAGAGAGATTAAATATGAGAAGGAATGATCAAATAGGATTTTGCATCTTCCCAACAGGAACGGTCGTTACACGGCATTGAATCACGGGTCGAAATCTGTCAGCGAGGATGGAGTCGAGTACATGGAAATGGAGAAGAGATCCCGCGATCGTGCTTTATCAATTTGCCGTGACTACATCGGGAAAACTCCACGTTTTGTTCTCATTAAGCAGCTCAACAACATCGGTGAGCCTTCTTCGCTTTCATGATTCCGTCGAAGCCATCAAAATATTAAATAAAAAATGTAAATAAAACATGAAAACTTCCCTGAAACCTTAACGCGTTCCTCAATAATATTATGTACCGAGAAGATGATCGAGAAAATACTAAATTGAAGATAAATTATGGAAACCTATGAAGTTAAAAAATTAAAGAATTTAGGAATAAGAGTTACAGAATTCTAATCTAATTTTATATACGTTCAGAGACTAAATTTTTTTGCTCATATCAGTTATTTATTGGCCATATCTTCGAAAATAATTTATATAAAAAAGAAAATTAATGAAATCGTTAAAATCTTTCAGGATCGAGAGTAGATAAGTATTGGTTCATGGTGAGGGACACGTCGCTGAAGACGGACAGACTGTTGACTTTGGTACCATTAAATCGAAACTGTCCGCTGACTGCCTGTCCCTCTACTAAAGACATCTTGAACAATCTATTCCTGGCCTTACAACATCCCTACATCTGTCCTGTCTTTCATGTCGATTTTCTTGAATATGAGGACCAAACATATATCGTCCTGGTGCAACCTATCAACCAGGGTAGCCTCAAGGATCTAATATACGGCGTAAGTTTTTTATGCATAGAAATATATTTAGCTCTTCAGACGAGAATGAACAAAAATATACATATATTATGTAAACTTTATTTTCGTATCTTATTCAAATTAATTTTTATTTACTTTTTCGCCTTATTGTTAGTGAAGTTTTATTAAATATCACCGTATTCATCTTTTTAATTATCAATGTCAAACATCTTTAGTAAATTAAACTTCATTAATTAACTAAAATAACGTAAGATCTTAGGATAATTGAAGACTGTTTATTTCGATCGCTAGAATTTTTCTTGGTGCTTTGTATGTATATATGAAAAAACGGGGTGATGTCCTAGTGAAATAATATCCTGTGGCAGATCGAGCGAAATTGCTGGAACGAGGACTGGATTCACAAGTATGCTGCACGAGGCAAGGGACTCAAACTACCACAAGTGCAACGGATGGGACGACAGATATTAGAAGCGTTAGTGTTCCTGAAGGAACGGGGATTTCCTACAGTGACTCATCTTCACTCGGGCAATGTGGTGATTCAAAACGGCGTTGCGAGACTGGCTGGTCTAGAGAATACACTTCTAGGCTTTACCAGTCGCATACATCCCATCGTGACGTCCCGATTAACACATTCCACGATTGATATTATATGTTTCGGTAAAGAACAATATTTTTCAATGCAAAGCTTTTCAAACGGATTTTAAATCAAGTTTTCATTATTAATGTCAGCTTCGATGAGATACTCTTTAATATAATTTTCATGATCGCTCTTTATATCTTCTAGCAGAATATATAAGATATATAGATTTTATATTAAATATTTATAGTTTGTAGAAAAATTTGAATTGCATATTTTACAACAGAATATTTTAACATAATTTTTACATAGCTCTCTTTCAACGATATATTTCAATAAAATACCAAATTGTGTTCAATAATTTTTTTTTAAACTAAATTTAATGTTGCATTTCTTTAATAAAATGTATTTTATTTTCAAATTTAATTTTACAATAACAGGTAACTTTATGATAAACTTATTTTTATATTATCAGGGCATATACTATTCGAAATGTGCGCCGGCTACGAATTATGTACCTTTAGACCATCTGCCGTCCAGCTATCAGACATCGAAATGTATCCGCAGGTAAAAATCGATCACAATAACTCAATGTGGTTCATTCATAAAATAAAAATCCAAATGCTATGTATTTCGATTTTAGGTCGTGAGATTTCTCGAGCTGATATTCACGGAATCGGAAACTCGTTTCACTAGTATAGAGGAATTGCTGATCCACGACCTTTTTAGGAATATCGATCTCCGTGAGATGCGATGCGCGGCTGTAACTGTGAGTTCCCAAGGAGTCATCTAGATAAATTAAAATTAACTCAATCTTAATAAAATTAACGTGATTATTTCAGGTATTTCGTCCGACCCTGACACCTTCCATAATGAGCTTGCTCGACGGTATTAAACGACAAGATGCTGGAAAAGGGTGAGTTTTTATGACTTCAATATAATTATAATTTATTAAATGTATGAAAATTACTGTTTATTCGATTTCAAAATACATATAATTACTGGTGTTGCAAATAATTTCTTTCGCATGCGCAGCTGGCATAAGACACGCTCTGTAAGCGATGTCCATTTAACGCGCAGATTTTGGTAATGAACGATCAATTAATTGCGCTGATTAATAAATATGAATTTAATTGACGGGATAACATACGCGAGAATTTTATTTTTTTTTTTTTCAGAATTACGAGTATCAACAGCGAGGACAGTGTATCGCTGAACAGCTTCGACGGATCCTTACTCACGCAGATATACAACGAGCTTTCACAAACAGCTTTATAATGTGGGAACAAAGTCTAATATATACATAGTCATATATATACGTATATTTTATCTTGAAAAAAAAATGCACGTTCCTATTATATTTGCAAAGTGCCAAGAAAACCCGTCGCTAATTCTATCATATATTATAATATATAAAGGGCATGTTATAGGATTTGTACAATAATAATATTAAGATTATTCGTGTTTTCTTCACATTTATCTGGTACAGATGAAAAGAAAATTGTAGGTAGTTTTTTTTCTGTGTAATTCTAGAAATGGTAACAATCCTTTAGAATCTGTTACTTATTTTAGATTTATAGTTAGACATATATTAATTTTAAATTACGTGAATTAGAAAGGGAAAATCACAAAAATGGTAATAAATAAAACTGGGAAAAGAGTAAATTAAGCTAAACATCACTCGAGTTTATATCATTTCTTTATTCACGCTTAAAACGAAGTAGAAAAAGTACTTGGCATCCCCTAATGTCATTTTAGTTCTCTTATTCACTGTGACAGAGAAATAGTGCCTTCGTACGAGGATGGATCATAAAGAGTGTAACTAGCAGTTATTTTATTATTGCTAACTATTTAGCTAGCTAGCTTATTTAATTTCTTGTTAACATAGCCAATTCATCACCGTAAAACAATAATACTCGCTATACTTATTCTTTCAAAAATATTTCAAGTTATTCGTAATTTATTTCAAAATTTTGGAAAAATATGTTTAGTCAAATTCGATAAAATGGTATATGTTATTCCCATATATTCGCTGAATGGAATCTTTCTTTTTTGTTATTTACATCTTTTGTACGATCGAATTATAAAAAGCAAGAATTATTGTTCCTTGATGAAAAGGAATGTCTTCATGCTCGTTACATCAAGATGTCCAATAACATGGCGCAACGAGGATGCGCTTATCCTCAGTTGGGGAGTGACGATAGCTCAAAACAATTTAATGAATTATATTTCACGTTATGAACCACCAGTTTCAATCTCACTTCCAGGTGTCTCGGGTTCCTCGTCGTTGTAAATATTCTCCGCCATTTGCCACACTTGCATTATGTTATCTTCTGATACTGAGCATATGACCCACGGTTCATTCGGATTCCATGAAAAGTCGCTTATTTTCGCAGTATGACCTCCATGTATAAACTGTAAATATATTTAGAAAAATTATTAGAGAAGTTAATTTAAAATATTACATAGAATCTTAAAATTTAAAAATTTATAAAGATATCGAAAAACAAAATATTGTAAATTAAAAAAAATAATATACCTACAAAATTTACAAAAAAAATTGTTTTGGCTATTTATTAACTTCGTAAAGTAAGTTTGCATAATTACCAGAAGTTCTGGTGGTCCATCTTCAGCATCTTCGCTGGACTGCTCCTCGCCAATCTTGCTGAGATCCCAAACATGTAACCGTCTATCTGTACCACTGCTTGCTAATATAGTTTCGTTATGTGGTGACCATTGGACCTGGAAGATCTCGTCCTTGTGTGACTCAAATGAATGTAATTTTAATTTAAGATTTCGTAAATCCCAAAGTGCCACAGTCTTATCAGCACTGCCAGTAGCCAAGATAAATTCCGAATACGGATTGAAACTCAAGCAATTTACCTCAGCGGTATGAGCATCAACAGTATGACTTGGTTTACTAGTATTGTTGCATCTGCAAATATAACAAATTTAACGATATAATATATATCGCAATTTCAATATGATTATACTTAAGTATTTAATTTCATGTCGGTCCTAATAAATAATAAAATCTTATTATAATTTTAATGGCATTAATATCAATTGTACCAAGACAATAAACTGATTCTACAAATTAACAGAGAATATAAATTTTCTTCCAATTTTTTTATTATATGTTAAAAATTTTTGAATATTTTTAATTTAAATATTAT